AATATGAGATTTAATCATAGAAAATTTTTTATTTTTTTTTATTTTGACAATTAAAGCCTTGTCTTCAATTCGACTATAAAATTTATTGAGTGTCGTTTTTCTGTATATATGTATTGTTGGTGATTTTACTATAAAATTATATTGTTGCTCATTTTAGTAATAGATTCATTGTGGGAATTTTTAGGAGAAAATGCATTGTTGATCTGTTTATTAAAAATGCATTGTTGGTCATTTTATTAAAAACATTATCTGTCTATATTTCTAAGATGAAGCATTATGTACGCTATTTACATTATTCGGACTATTGTCCTCATCTTTGTTGGCATATTTAGTACGTGATAAATATTGCAACAAAAATGAGGATAATAGTTTGAATAATGCAAATAGTGTACATAATGCCTCATTTCTGTGATAAATATGACAATAAAGATGATGACAATAGTTTGAATAATGTAAATAGTAAAACATTTATTGTTGGTCAATTTGCTTTAAAATGTATTATTGTTAATTTATTTTATGAAATATATTGCTGGTAATTTCACTACAAAATTTTATCGTTGGCAATTTATTAATACAAATTTATTGATGTTATTTTTATTATAAAATGTATTTTTATACTTTCCTAGTGTTTTCCCATAGTTGGGATCCCTAACAGATGAAACCACCTCGAGTCAGGGTGAACAGGGGAACAATAGCAATTAAGAGATAATTCCACGCTCCACAAAACCTGCAAATTTGAAAATGAATATACTATGAATACATAGTAATTTTCTTTCTTCCTTTAATAAGGATACTAAGAAACTAGTCCGTAATTATTAGAGTATTCTATTAAAAATTAGTAAACAAAACTTTTCTAAATTATTTAATGAGACATGTCCAGCTTTATAAAAGTCAAAGTTTTAATTCTTATAATAATATTCAAGTTCTCTCTCTCTCTCTCTCCCTCTCTCTCTCTCTCTTTTCTTCAACCCGTTCTCACAAAAAGGTTATATTTTAAATTAATCGCATGGTAACCATGTACCAAAAAGGAGAACTCATTCAAACATCTTCCATAAAAATATTTACAGAAAAGGCAGAAGGAAGCGATATGAGATGCTAGGTCAGGATCGATAACATCACAGACCCTTCTTTGGATTTTGTCAAGAATCTCGAGACATATAGCCGGAGCACCAGACCAGATATGGCAGCAATATTCAATGCATGGATGAATGGTAGATTTATAAATGTGCAAGATGGATTCTGATAATAAAAAAATCTTTGGCGGTGGGAAAGTGTTGTGGTAGGATCCACCTAATTTGCATAGTGGAGTACCGACCATATAAATATGGTTGGTACCGGGAAGACGGGGGGAGGAATCAAGAGATTCAATCCAGAGACTCTGCCCGACTGCGACTAAGTCAACACATTCGCCAGGAACGGTCTTCCCAAGAATATACAAAAGACTATATGTAAATATTGTGTACATTTTGTGTTGTATTATTATTCCATGCATTAGTCAAGTTTCAACAGAAAGTAAAGTCTTGATTCTAGGTGAGAACCAATAACATTACATTCTTTGGATTTTGTTGAGAATCTCAAGATATATAACAAAAGCACCAGACAATATATGGCATCAATATTCAATGTACGGTCAAATGGTAGATTTATAAATGCACAAGATAGACGCTGACGAAAGAAATTGTCTGATACGGCTCATTAGACCAACGTTCGTAGCTGCAGAGCTATCAGTTGAGTCAATATAATCGTTCCGCTTTTTGTCAGTAGAAAACACCAAGAAGGTGATCTACGAGACAAGCTTGTTAACTATTACACGACGTCGAAGTGTTCCCAAAAATGTGTATATAGAAATATCAATTAGTTCCGCAACCTAATGATGAAAAAGTAATCATAACATTACAGCCACACCATGTCGAAACATTGGTTCACTTACGATCATCAAAATTAAGTAACGTCGAGCCTAGTTAGTACCCAGATGGGTGAGAATAACATAGGCTGTAAACTTGGATGTTCGGGTGTTTTCCTGGGTAATGGCTCGGAATTGGTAAATCGCAGTGCCGAGTTCCAATTCCTGTCAGGTTCGTTATATGCACTTACGGGCAAATACCCTTGGAAAAGTTATGAATCCACCACTTATCCCCCAGGTATGGGCTAATTAGTAAGACCTGTATCACTAAACCATAATTATCTAAAAACATACTTACAATCTAAAAATATTTTCTGGCTTTAATTAACCTGCATAAGGTTGATAAGGTGTAAAAAGTGAATGAATCAACCAATGAAATATTGATTAACTACACAGCCATGTCTTAGATTTAGTTACATTCTCTGAAATATATATGTATAGAAACTACCGTAGCGACAAAGTGAGGGATCAGTTTTTATATTGAATTTAGTGTAGAATTGATCCCCAATTTTGTATCCACCTTATTTACTGTTTGTTTATCAAATTCTGATTAGTTATGAATCCACCTTTTCTTCCTCCAGCTACGGGTTAATTAGTAAGACTTGTATTACTAAACCATTATTATCACCAAAAACAAACAAAAAACAATTCTTATAATAAAAAATAAAAATATTTAATAACTTTAAATAGGCAATAGAAAAAAATCAATAAACAATTAAACGATATCTGGTAGTGGCGTGATAATTTATTTAATACGATTCTAATGTCATAGTTACTGCTATTGGATGAAAATAAAAGTTTCCCGAATAAAATACTGATCCTATCGTTTCAGAAATTAGCTCAGCATATGTCAGTGGGCAGAGAGACACTCAAACCAGATTTATATATAATGCTCATCTGTGGCTTTATATCCGTCCCTTTCCGGTATTACGCATATTCTGCTATTTGTGATTTATTTATTTTACCCGGTAACGAGATATTGATTTTCCCAGCGATCGATCGGATCAAAATTGGATAAATATGTCATATATCATCTATAGAACAAAATGAATCGGCAGTGAAACCACCTATTTCCATTCTGCCTCTTTTATGTATTTTCAGGAGGTAGGCGATCATGGCGCGCTCCACATATTCTTGGCCTTTGTTATAATTTCGACACTGGATGTTTGGTGGGCGAAATTCCCAAAACATTCGACGAATGGCTTCATTTAGAAAACTTGAACGTTTTAAACATATCACCCATCAAGATATTCACTACAATTATTGCGTTTCTCAGTGTTCAGGATTTAGAACCATAATTACTGTTATATTATCATCGTAATCATTGAGCCGCAGTGGGGACCATTGAGACAATGGAACGATCGTTTCCTTAGCTGTATAGTATGTGCCACTCCAAGGCTACATACAGGTTTGAATTCAGAGTTACTTTCTCCCAGACCGGTTGGCGCCCAACGCTATAGAACCCAATCTGTCGTGCTATTTACACACAACTGGGGAAGAAGAAGAGGATTCATACCAAGAGTATTGGCACGTAAGCGAATGTAATGAATCCGACAAGAATTCGAACTCTGCTCTCCGATTCCTCAATCCGAGCCACTATCCATTATTCAATCCGTTATTGTTATATCAAATTGATAAATATTGTTCGGATTTTTTAGTCATATTTTCCGTCTTTTCTCAGTTCGGAAACTTGGTCAGGGATCGTGCCATTTTAATTTGGAAAGAAAAATATACAGGAGTAAACTGTTAACTTTTTCTTTATAAAAAATATTGACTTTTGAACTATTTTAAAAAAAATAAATACTGAACATTAATTTTTCAAGATTTTTTTATAAAATCAAATAATAACTAGAATCAAACAATATTTTAAACTGAAGAATAAAAAGAAAACTTTGCCAACAGGTAGAACATACATAAAAATAACTTTAAAGAATTGGGATCGCTTTTAATCAAATTTCACTAACAAAAACTTATTTAATAACAAGTGATATAAATTCTGGGCAAGACGGAGACAAAATGATCAATTTGAATATTTTTCTCTGCTTATCAAAATATTTTTGTTTATTACATACATAAAGAAACTAAAAAATATAATTATTGTATTTGACGCCAAGTAACTTTCTTAATTCGCCGGTAAAAGTCATTTTAATAGGCGTAGGCCTTTACCCTGATCCTATGTCTTTCACGAGAAGGAAATAAGCCATTACGCGACTGCGATGGTCCAATGCGTGTAAGTAGGGGCTTACGGCAGTTGATAATTTCAAGCAGTCACCTTGGTCGGACGAGACCGGGTGTTTCAATATGCTATCGCCGTAAAGCATTATGAAACATTAAAATTTCATAAATTTATGACAAATTCATGTAAGGGGAGTTATTTTGAACATTTTCCAAAAGGGACAAGGAGAGGTAGCAGGTCGCAGCTTGTGTTAATAAATAACGGGACGTGGGTCGAATAAAGTAAAAAGACAAATGTTACTACAAACTACAAGAGATATAAAATTGTGGAGTTTAGAGAAGACATAAGACATTATAAGAAGTTCCATTTCGTTTTTTTTTCTCTCTAAGATTCCTTGCTTTTAATAGGTCCTGAATCTTATGCCAGTAAACATAGTGTTCATAAGCGTGGGCAGAATTTCTATCCCGAACGATAGTTTTGCACATAGTCAGGCAGAAGAAAAGGTACAGAAAAAAACAATTTCGTTTTCTTGTCAACTGACAGCATTCTTTTTTTTTGTGTTGTGTCTCGTCAGGACATTGTCGATCTTGGCTCTCCATAACTACCCGCTATTTGCTGCACTTAATAAATTTTCTCATTTACATATCTCAAATCTTGTTTCTCCCTCTGTTTACATATGCTCGTTAGGTAGGTTATGCGTTATTTTCCTCAGTCTCTCTTACTTTCAATCTGTCCTGTGAGTATCAGATTTTCTAAGCCCTCTTTCCTCATTATGTCAACAATTTCTGCCTGATGTTAAATATAAGATTCCTTTTTATTTCCATTTTCTCTAAATATAAACATAAGTAGTATTTTATTGGGAAACATATGAGATTGAAACGTTTCAAGCACTCATATCGCGCGGGCTTACGGATGTATCACGTTGAGACACCTGTTCCCTTATGATCACCGAAGTTAAGCAATATTGAGCCTGGTCAGTACTTAGATGGGTGACCGTTTGGAAATACCAGGTGCTGTAACTTTGGATGTAAAGGTGTAGTAACGAATAATGGCGTGGGATTGTTAATCGGAGAGTCAAGTTCCAATTCCTTTTGGGTATGTTATATTCAATTACGTGCAACTGACTTGGAAGAGGTATGATTCCACCTCTTCTCCTCCACTTATGGGTTAATTAGTAATAACTTGTATTACTAAATCATTATTACCTCAAAAAATTTTTACAATCCAAAAATATTTTCTGGCTTTAAATAACCTGGTTGACAAACCGTAGATAAAGCGAATTAATAAAAATAATCAAAACGTGATTTGTCAGGTATGAAAGTTTAAAAATATATTTATGTGTTATCTATTGGTCCTAGATATCGGTGTATGACCCAACATAAAAGCTTTGATTTCAAATTTTGTGTAGTCAGGGGGGTAGATCCAATATGCTTTTTGTGAAAACAATTTCGATTTTGGGATGTAATAAGCCAAATTTATCACAGATCAAAGTCAAATTTACTAAAGATTGAAATCAAATTCACTAGAGATTGAAGCTAAAATTAACAAAGTTTGCACAGTTTCTAGTGGATTACCTTTCCTACCCCAACATATATTTTACATTCCTCCTCAGTTACCCTTTTACGATGTCATATCCCTTTTCGAATATGATTATGAGATTTAGAATTGCTGGTATTATTTTGATGAGTAACGTGTTATTTTAATCTTCTATAGATGCTAATAGTGAAATGATACAACCTATTAAAATTTCAGTATCTGTCTATATCTCTGAGATGAGGTATTATGTACATTATTTACATTATTCGGACATTTTCCTCATCTTTGTCGCCATATTTATTACAGCGTTTCAGCCGTTGTACGCTCCGGCCTTCTTCAGGTAGTTGGAGTGTCGCTCAGTGGGGTACACTGCTCTAGTTCCATCCAGTGTCAGTACCCAAAGAGTGTGAGTTCAATAACCGGTTAAGGCTGTGGAGAACTTGGAGAGGGGAATTAACAGGAGATAACTGATAAATGACATCCATTAAACATGGCATGTGGAACTAGAACAGTCTACTTCAGTGAGCAAAATAAAGGATTCAGTTCGACATTCCATGGCGTCAGTTATAAACGCTTTAACGGAAAATCATATATCGAGACACGTTCTTTTTAATACAGACTTCAATATACGATCTGCAATTAATATTTTATTCAATGTTGATTCTTTCTTTAGTAAAATAAAGGCTTCTACAATTTCGAGCCTTTCTTTGCGATAAGTCCTGTATTCTCACCTTTGTTGTTTTCTATTCAAATTTGTCTTTTATTCAAGGTATTTTTGTGGTGTCCTGATTGACATATTCCCGAATTGCACTAAGTTTCGGGTCAATCTACAACAGCTGTGGTGACTATGTGGCCAATGTAAGAATTTAATTTGTTGAATATTAGTGTTGAAGATACAATCCCTCAAATGAGCATTCATAAACAACATTATTTTTACATAGAGTGAATTCTGCGGTGCTAAATTACTAGTAATAATTAGATAAGATGTTTTTAGTGTTTCATAATCTTATATGTAAAGTACAGTGTATGTGCGTGTGTTTGTGCGTGTGTGTGTGTGTGTCCAAGCAATTCCTCCGCTCCCAATGGTCCGATTTCAATGATTCATAGCTCATTCAAAAACCCTAAAATGGTTAGGCTCAGGGAATGATTTTCGTTGAGTTCCGATTTGGAGTTGCCAGTTTATGCGAGGTTAAAAATATATATAAATTGGTTTGGCCATCATCACAATAGCTAGGGAGGAGTAGATGCAATAGGCATCAATAAACTACAGAAGAACCCAAAATTGATCACTGCATTTAAGTATTGAATTAATGTTTAAGCTTATCTTTTAAAAGTTCAACGATAATTCTTCTGCTGCTGTTAAAGACGATTTGATGTACATAGATCCTTATTCCCGTACAAGCAATTATTTTTATTTCATGGGTAACAGAATAGGGGACAATTTATAAGATAAAATTAATATAGTGTAAAGAGGGGGAAATAGAAATTAGTTAACCATTCAACGAGTTAGAGAAACGTAATAGCTAATTAAGTAAAGTCTATATTATGGAATCTATATGAATAAATTTGAAATTGGAGCTCAATTCTGAGATTGAAAATACTCAACAGTACTTTATAGTAACTTACTGTCATATCTAACAGCCCCTCCACGAGGGATGTATGTGGCACAAGGCCGGTTTATTGTGGGTACCCCGAGTCCTTTGAACCCGCCTAAACGTGTTCAGGGCCTGTTTACCTCCCCGGACGAAACTTGTCCTTCGGCAAAGCTTAAGCCCGAGTTCCTCTCTGTTCGAGGCAGAGAGTTCGACAGTTGAACATTTTTTGCGACTGTCTATGTAACTTATTGAGGTATTTACCCGACTCCCACAGGGTCAGGATGTGACACAAGGTCGGTTTAACGTGGGAGACCCGAGTGTTTCCACTCAAAGGGCCAAAACTGGTCTTAGCACGTCCAAGCTGGTCATGTCTTGTCTTAGCTAGTCCAGGCCGAAGCCAGTCCAAACTAGTCGTAGCCGTGATCGAATCTCAGCAAAAGGCCGAGAAACGATCCTTATTTGTCAAAACTGGGCGAAATCCGCCAAAGCGGAAGTCGCCGACAATGTAACTTACTGACATATAGCTCAATATCTGTATTGTATATTATCTAATCCTAGGCATGATCACTCTTCAGGTTTAACTAATTTGCATATTGATTTTAAAAACTTTATTTCATTAATTATCTGTCCTTCATTACTGTTCATTTATTCAAGGATTGTTTTGATTTTCATATAAAAATAATTCTGTTTAGGAATATCGTCTTATGTAGAGGAGTGTTTGAAATTTGCCTTTTACTTGATTTTCAACAAGATGGCATCTATTTGTAAAACCAGCCAATTTATGAATGAATGTTAATTCAAAATTTTTGTCTTAAAGATTTCAAGTAATGGATATATCTTACTTTGAGAAGCGATAACGAACGGGCCAAGCTTGCTAGTAAATAATAATTCTAAGGTATTTTTAAAGACTGTTAACTGCGCTATTAGGGCTAATTATATTTTTAATGGCTTTTTCATGTTTTATATAATTAGGGCTCATCCGGTCACAATAAAATAATTTAATGGTGCTTTTATTTTTGTTTATATCAAGATGATTGCTTATGTTATTTTTCCTAACATTCTTTAAAGACAGTTTTATTTCTTCATCACAACATGGTTTTGGAAATTATTATTGATTAGTGTTTTTTTTATTGATTAATACGTTATAAAATAATTTCTCCGAAGAAGAAACCATTTTCGCATGTTTCTTCATGGTTTTATAACACCTATTTGATATCTGTGAGGACACTCATTTTTATAATTATGAAAACAGGAATTTTGGATTGAGTTATAAAAATGTCATCAATATATGAGGTATATATGGAGGGTTTAGTGAAATTATTAAAAGAACTTTGCTTTCTCCATGGGTAAAGTAGAAATTGGTTATAATGAGACCTAAAAGCGGGCCCATAGCTACGGCATCAGTCTGTGTAAAAATGTTACCATAATGATCGTAAAATAGTCCTTGTGCCGTGAAAGTTAAAACTTTACTCCAAATTGTTAGTCTAATATTAGGTGGTTGGAGTGTGGGAAGATTACATATGTTTTATATTCCTATGTCTATGGTTTTTTGGATAAATGCATTAGTAAACAGACTTTCAGCGTCTAACGAGTTTTAGATGCCATTGTTAGATTTATTGGAATATAATATATCAAGGAATTCGTTGGCGGAACCAAAGCTATATTTATTTGGTAAGTATGGCTGGATCAGTTTCTTTAGAGTTTTAGATAAGTTATATACGGGAATAGGAATCTGAGAATTCATGGACGAAGCGGAGTGAGAGGTTGATAGGGTTTAACATTTTTATATAAATAACTGAGATGATACTCACCCACAATTTTGTGAAGTTTCATGGATCGACATTCGCGTTATTAGTTGTAATTTGTTTGTTTATTTGCACCTTAAGAAAGTTGGTGTTTTTTTTATTTATATTTTAAATCTTCAAATTAATAAAGAATATATTAGATTAGTTAATCTTCGTTATTATTACATTTTCGACGTATGACGGTCAAGCAGCTTAGTTCTTCAAGCCAATATTCAGATTACTAGTGGACTAGTACTACTGGTGGACAATATGCCACAAGCACAGCAAAAGACCCTTCGCAGGCTTGGAATTCAGAATTCTCCTTCTCCTAGACTGTATACCACCCAAAGCGGACCATACCCTGCTATTTATCCGTAGCTAAGAAGAAATGGATTTATACCTTTCCCAAAAGAATATAATAATCCTGAATGGGATTCGAACTTCGTTCCCAGATTCCTTAATCAATTCCTTCACCGTGCCTCGATTAATCCACCGTGTGTGTGTGTGTGTGTGGAATAAGATAGGATATCAAAGAAAACAGTATCCAGTTCATTCGATTTCGTTCTTAAATCTAAATCATTCTTTTCTTCGTCCTGTCAGCAGACATTATAAAAAAAGCCCTATCTGCGCCTGTAGGGGAGAAAAAAACAAACAAAAAGAAGCGTAGTAATACCGGGTAAAGTTCTCTGCGCTATAAATCATTTTTTAGATGACAAAGACCTTAGTCAACATCATTAAACTGGGAACATTACATTGAAAAACATAATTTCCAAGGTTTCGTCACTAACATTTCATGATTCACAAAACAAAAGACGATTGTCTACTTGCAATTACAGTACACCACCGATGTTAAAAAGCGATAAACTTACTCTGCTATTAGATGTGTAACCTCATAGGAACAACAGATAGTGTAAAATACCTAAGTACGATTTCCGGATTAAGCAAGTTTTATATATAACTATTGATCCAAATTATCTAACCCATGCAGGCAGTAGTAGATGAAAGCTGTTACCTCTATAGTCAACCTTGAAAGAATTCTATAAAGATTTAACAACCAGAAAAAGCCTATTTAATTGGAAATAATTAATGGAGACATATATTAAA